TTGCATCCCTGGGATAAACCCCACTTGGTCATAGTGAAAACTTTTTTTTAAGTGTCAAAGTCATGAAAGAAGGAAAGACTGAGGAACTATCACATACTGGAGGAGATAAAGGAGACACAACAACTAAATGGCATTGTGAGATCCTGGATTGGATCCTGGAACAGAAAAAGAACATTAGCAGAAGTGGTGGTAAACTTCAAATAGGCCTGTAGTTTAGTTAATAATATTGTGCCAACATTAATTTCCCTGTTTTGATAATTGTACTATGGTTATTTGGTAACATTAGAGGAAGCTTGGTAAAATATGTACAAACAAGCCCCAAATAACATTTCGGTCAATGACAAACCACATATATGACAGCAGTCCCATAATATTATAAAACTGTATTTTTACTATACCTTTTCTACGCTTAGATAGAATCTATGTTTAGATACCCAAATCCTATTGTGCTATAATTGTCTACAGTATTCAGTACGGTAACTTGCTGTACATGTTTATCGCCTAGGAGCAACAAGCTATACCATATAGCATAGGTGTGTAGTAAGCTATATGCCATTTAGGTTTGTATGAAAACCATCTATGGTGTTAATACAATGCTGAACCCGCCTAACCACTCATTTCTCAGAATGTATCTTCATCATTAAGCAACACATAACTGTACATGAAGTCTCTATACAGATTAAGCATCCTACTCCAAAAATGGGAAATCCAAAATGTTCCAAAATTCAAAACTTTTTGAGCACCAACATAACAACATAACACCACATGTGGAAAATTCCACACTTGACTTCATGTGATGGGTCAAAACACAGGCACACGATATACAGATTATTCAGCATCCTTAGGGAAAAAAATAAAATTATCTTTAGGCTATGTGTATAAGGTATATGGAACATAAATGAATTTCATGTTTAGACTTGGGTCCCATCTCCAAGATATCTCATTTTACATATATATATACACACACACACACACACACATATATGTATATATATATCACACAAAGATTCCAAAATCCAAATAAAAACTTGGAATCTGAAACACTTTAATACCAAGAATTTCAAATAAGTGATTCTCAACTTACATTTTTTGTAAGTTTTTATGTCTGAAATTATTTCACTATAGAAGAGTTTTTTTAAGTTGTCCAAAAATTACTTCCAGAAAGAAGTTAGGTGCAAATACAGAGTTGAACTTTTTTCTTATTTCAAGGAATATTCCTATGGTATCAAAATTGTTACAGAGCATGGAAAACAATGGAAAGTATCTCAATTAATTCTATAAAGCTAATAAGAACCTGATACGAAAATCTGGCAATGTCATCCCAAAAAAAGACTTTTTTTTTCTGAGATCGAGTTTCGCTCTTGTTGCCCAGGCTGGAGTGCAGTGGTGAGATCTCAGCTCACTACAGCCTCCACCTCCCAGGTTCAAGTGATTCTCGTGCCTCAGCCTCCCAAGTAGCTGGGATTATAGGTGCACACCACCACGCTCAGCTAATTTTTATATTTTTAGTAGAGACGGGGTTTCACCATGTTGGCCAGGCAGTCTTGAACTCCTGACCTCAGGTAATCCATCTGCCTCGGCCTCCCAAGGTGCTAGCATTAAAGGCATGAGCCACTGCGGTCCAGCCAAAAACTGCTCTTGAATCTCACTCATGAATATAGATCCAAAACCCTAAATAAAACACTAAAAACTTAAACTCAACAATATATCTTTTAAAAAATCATCATGACAAAGTACACTTGATTCCAAGAATGCCATGGTGGCCCAATATTTTTAAATTTATTAGGAGAACAAGTCAAATGCATTTCATATTATTCAATATTCATTTCCGATTTTAAAAATCAGACTTGATAAACTAGGAATAAAAGGGTACTTTACCATCTACTTCATGACAGAAGTCAAAATTTAAAGTATAACTCCCATTATATGATATTATTCTGGAAGTTCTTGCCAATGCAGTAAGAAAAGAATAAGAAATAGGATGTTCAACTATCAAAATGGAGAAAAAAACTGTCATTGTTATTTGAAATGATACAAAAACTATTAGAGCAGAGGATTTTAATAAGTAGAATTCTTGCAAAATAAATAAACAAGAACTCATTGCTTCTCTACATAAATATCACTCCAAAATACAATGGGAAAAGATCATGATTATAATAACAACCAAAAAACATAAAATACCTAAGAACAAACACAACAAGAAAAATGCACAATATAAATGAGAAAACTGCAAAACTTTGCTTATAAACATAAAAAGAAATTCAATTAAATAAAATAAGGTAAAACTTAGATTATACAGGGTTGACAAGGTTACAGGAAAACAGATAATCACACACTTTGCTGCAAAAGTAGAAATGGACAATATCTATCAAAACCTAAATGGCAGGCAGCATGGTGGTTCATGCTTGTAGTCCCTTCAGACTTTGGGAGGCTGAGGCAGGCAGATCACTTGAGCCCAGGAGTTCAAGCCTAGCCTGGGCAACATGATGAAACCCTGTCTCTAAAGAAAATAAAAGAAATTAACCAGGCTTGGTGGCACATGCCTGTAGTCCCAGCTACTCAGGAGACTGAGGTAGAAGGATCACTTGAGCCCAGGGTGTTGAGGCTACAGTGAACCAAGATCACGCCACTATACTCCAGCCTAGGCAACAGGAGGAAACCCCATCTCAAAAAAAAAAAAAAAAAAAAACATTAAAAGCACATAACCTTTGAGCCAGCAATTCTACTTCTAGAAATTTATTTTACAGATAATATACACATGTACAAATATGTGAGAGAGAGAGAGTGTATATGTGTGTGTGTATACTCAACACAGCACCGTTTTTAATAGCAAAAAGCTGGGAACAACATCAATATTGAAAAATAAGACTTATAAAAGATGATTATCAACATTATGAAAGAACATAGAGCCATACCATAAATAGTATGATCAATATATTGAAGAATATTTTTGTAAGACATATATTTATAAAATAGGCAGGATGTACATACTTCTAAAAATTATCAATGTACTTTTGTCTGCATGGCAGAATTATGATAACTTATTTACTTTCCCGTGCTTTTCTGTGTTTTCTAAATTGTCTACAATACTCATGTATTGTAATTAACAGGGAAAAGTAATAAAGGCTTTATCTGTGGATGAGAGGAATTCTAGTACCTAACATTTGTATTAGGTACTTGCCAGACCTAATGTCTCTAAATTCACATGCACTGCCTCTAAATTCTGTATTTGTAGTTGCCAACTTGCAAAACTCAACATACATGTTTTTCATTTTCACTAGTTTCTACCATTATTTCAATGAACTTAACCGTGCAGCCCATAGTAAAACTGCATTCTGATCTTGAGTCAAGAAGTGAAACCACCACTCTGCTTGTGTGAAACAGAGGGGGAAAGACCATCATGGCAGCAAGGAGGGCAAAATAGGGTGTTTATCTTGCAAGCCTCAAATCTCCAATTTTATCCGCTACAGGAAGCAGTGGCTACTTTTGTTTCATCAACTTTTCTTTATCTCCATGATAAGTGTGTTTTATTATCTGTATATGCACAATGATGTACTGCTCCAGTAAACCAGGATATCAGAGCAGGAAACCGGGGCTTATGTTTTAAGGTTTAGATCCTGTCCAACTATATCTCATCAGCAAGAACTGGGAAGTGAAGCTCAGTATAAACATGCCATTTGTGATATACACACTTACACTTCCCTTACCACTGCTCCACTCTGAGCAGCCAGCATGCAGCGTTTGAGAACATGTTCTGTAGCCCTGTGCTGTCTGCTTCAGAGAGAGCCCTAACCACATTTGGGGGAGAAACGTCTTGTACCTATTATCTTTATGATCTCCCTAAATACCCTCCATGACAGGAACCCTGCAAACTTCCCCAGATTCATTATAGGGAATTAAATACTTTCAACTCTATACATTGGTGGCTCACAACTTCTGTATAGGAGAGGTTTAAGGTGCAGTAATCTGAAAGAAAGGGGACTGGGAAGAGTGGCTTTCAAATGATTTTTACCTCAATTTGCAATAACAGTTATTTTATTTCACGCTGTGACCCATTGTAAACATAGGTGTAACATGCACATATACACACAAATGTGCAATAATATTACTAAAGTAAAAGCTTTCTAAAACAATACACACGCTAAGTGTGACACACCTTTACCTGTTCAGTAGTGTTATGTTCTAGTTTATTCCATTCTATTAAAAATTCTGCCCAAATCTCATTGAAATTATTCTGTTCATGATACTTTCATGATGATAGCAACATGCAGTTGGAAAAGCACTGGACAAGGGGTCTTTGGGACCTGGATTTATGATCATTTGGAGTGCAGGACTGGGCTACGCTCATACCCAGACAGGTGTCTTGACATCACAGGACTATGGTATCTTTTTGCTCTAATTGAATTGTTAGAGATCAAGCAAATTCAAGAAATTTGAGAAGCTGTAGGAGTGTTCAGAGTCACAAATTTCCAAAATTGCATTTATGGAAATCGCATTTATGGACATATTTCAAATTTTTGAATCTTTCTCACAACCCCCTTGTTTTTTATTTTAACTTTTATTCTAGATACAAGGGGTACATGTGCAGATTTGTTACATGGAAATATTGTGTGATGCTGGGGTTTGGAGTATGGTTTCCATCACCTAAGTAGTGAATGTAAATACCCAACAGCATTTTCTAACCCATCCCCACCACCCCCAGGAGTCCCCAGTGCCTATTGTTTCCATGTTTATGTCCATGTGTGCTCAATGTTTAGCTCCCACTTATAAGTGAGAACATGCAGTGTTTGGTTTTCTGTTCCCGCTTTAATTTGTTTGGATCATGGCCTCCAGCTCCATTAATGTTGCTGCCAAGGACATGATTCCATTCTTTTATATAGCTGCATAGTATTCCATGGTGTTTATGTACCACATATTATTTATCCAACCCACCATTCATCGGCATCTGATAACCTCTCTTGGAACCTTAGCAGAGGAGGGGAAAGTGGAAGCAGAGTTACCATAGGAAGAGCTGTTGAAGAGTTCAATGTTGAAGAAGGCGTAGTCTCCACTGGTCATGCCATGCCTGTGCGCCGCCAGCATGATGCTCCGGACGGTGTCACTGCTCGCACACATGATCACCACTAGGGGAGGAACAAACAACACACATGAGGCACCCCTTTGCAGAGCACTTTGAGCATGCTGACACCAGTGAGGGACATCTGACAAGGAATGGGATACTTGTATGGTCCTGAAGTATCTCCTCACAATCACTTATAAACTACAAATGGACCACGGAGGAACCTAGCAGACATCTCCATAACCAAGAGATGGAAGCCAACATCACCAACCATGGGAACACACACTCATGGGACACCTGGAATAACACTCTAAGGACCAAAATGTCTAGATGGGCAGTCTACATCTAATCAGAAGGAGGCAGTCACAAACCCAACTTGGGGGATGGTCTGTAGAAAATCGGCGTATGCTCTTTAAAATGGTCAATTTCATGAACAACAAAGACAGGCTGAGGAAACATTCTAGACTGAAAGAGGCTTAAAGGAATAGGCTACTGACTACAGTGTGTGATGCTGGATTGGATTCTGGACCTTTTCTTTTAAAAAAAAAAAAAAGTTCTTTTAAAAAAAAAAACTGCATCAAATAAATCACCAGATTTGCCCAATATAAGATAGTGAAAATTGTCAACTGCTTTTTATACTTAATAGCATAGTAAATGCACTGTCCTGAAAAAGCAAACTTAATGATTTTAGAGAGAACATTAACTTGACAAATCAGAGGATTCAGGGAGTGCTACAAGCTTTCTGCTGTTTGAATTTTAAAACATTATTTTCAGGTTGTCTCAACATACATAAGAAATCATTTGTAAGATTCCAGGTGTCTCTCCCCTGTTCTCTCAGTTTATATCCACACTGTTGGATTCAAGAGGCTTCACACAACTCGAAAGCCTCTCAAACTGGATATTGTTGCCTACCATATAAGGGCTACACAGGCTAGAGTGAAGTAGGGCTTGACCATTACCCAGTCAATTTGACCCCTGTTGATAGACCCAGGTCTCCATGACCAGATCCACTGTGTTTTGCTGCACACATACTGTGCAGAGAGACCTGGAGAGACCTGGGTGCTATAAACCGCATTATCACGATGCATGCCAGCCCTCCAAGATGTGTATGTTCTTTGTAAAAGCATGGGTGCTGAAAGACGTAAAACAAACTTCAGGCTATGCCAAAGCAGCCTTGGCAACCTGCATGGAGGTTGGGCTCTTGTTGATATTTAGTTTACTGCACACGTTAATTCAGTGTTAGATCATGACTCTGACATTTCATACCCTAGAAGGGCTAGGTGTACAGCATAAAAGCTCTAGATAAAAAGTTTCTAAAACAATACAAAATTCTTAAAGATCTGTAACAATGGGAGTAGGTGTTGTTTCTGCCCTGAAAGTATAGGTATATATTTGGGATAATCAATTCCAAGATGCCTCAGTAAGAAAGTTTTCAAAGAAACTCCTAATTATTTGTTATGACTTAGATCCTTGTTTTACCTCTGATTTGATTCTAGCCTCTTAAATGAACAAAGAGTCAAGGTGTCCCATAACACATTCAACAAGGGACTGAGGCTGGACAAGTTTGAAGAATGTGGATTCCAAGAGTAGATGTCTCCAGGAGGTTCCGGGAAGTTCTGGCTGATTGGCCACCAAGCAGCCCTCATCATTTTTCGAGCAAGTGATCATAGTCCAGGATCTGGCTCTCAATTCCAAGATGCAGAACCTGATTCTGTCAACATATAGAGAGTAGAATCATTGCTTAGGGGCAAGTTTCCAATAACCTAACTCAGATATGTGTAGGTAATCTGAAATGCATACTATTTAAATTCAATGAGGTCCAGGATGGTTATGAATATATTTGTGTCAACATGCCCTATAGCTGGGCATGCTAACTGGAGAGACAAATTATAAGCAGTAGGATGCAAGTAAGGATGAAATCAGAATCAGGGAGGCCAGTAGAGGATTCAGCTGTCAAAGTCACCAGGACTTGATAACCCTAGGCATCCATCTAAGAGATATATCTGGTCCAGGACCAAACAGGCAGGGTCCAAGGACCAGAGGACCAGCTTTCCTAAACTTTGCCTGAAGTTTCCCTAAACACTGGCCTCTGTGGCACCCTTTTTCTATTTTTACATTCCTGGCCCATCTCCTTCTCTCTCTTCCTGCTATGGTTTGGTTGTGTCCCCCAGATTTCATGTGTTGGAAACTTAATGCTCAAAGTCATTTGTTGGTGGTATTTGGAGATGGGGCCTTTGGTAGATACTTACGATTAGATAAGGTCATCAGGGTGGGTCCCCTAAGATGGGACTGGCAGTTTAGAAGAAGAGGAAGAGAGACCTGAGTTGGCACAAATTTGCTCTCTTACCATGTGATGCCCACCATAGTGTTATGACACAGCAAGAAGGCCCTCACAAGATGCTGGCACTATGCTCTTGGACTTCCTAGCCTCTAGAACCATACGCTAAATAAACTTCTTTCTTTATAAATCACCCAGTCTGTGGTATTTTGTCATAGCAACAGAAAACCAACTAACAGACACCCCACCACCACCAAGTCCTTCTGATGGACACATTCTTTGTTTTGTTTTTTGTTGTTGTTATTTTGTTTGTTTGTTTGGAGACAGACTCTCACTCTGTCACCCAGACTGGAGTGCAGTGACTCAATCTTAGCTTACTGCAACCTCCATCTCCTGGGCTCACGTGATCCTCCCACCTCAGCACCTTCCAAGTAGCTGGGACTACAGGTGCATGTTACCACACCCAGCTAATTTTTGTACTTTTTGTGTAGATAGAGTTCCACCATGTTGGCCAGACTGGTCTCAAACTCCTGGCCTCAAGTGATCTGCCCACCTTGGGCCTCCCAAAGTACTGAGATAACAGGCACGAGCCATCAGACCCAGCCTACATTCTTTCTGTAAATGTTAGTACCCACTTAGACTGAGCAAGAGAGACATAGAGTGGCACTGTGTCTATCTAAGCAGATTTTGATTATTTTAGATCTTATCCATTTCGTGTTGACCATGTGTTTTAAGACTCAAAAGGAAGCCCTAATTTCCAAGTTCATAGGCAGAGCATTGTCTTTCTTGAATAAACCAAACCCATAATGCACATTATCATCCAGTTTCAGTTCAAACTGGAACAGGCACCTAATGACACTGGCAAAGCAGTCAGAGTACACGATCCTAGATTTTTATGATGCTCCCCAATCTCTTAGGGTTGTCTCACTCATGCCTAATTGAACAGCAAGTATTTTTAGTAACTTGCCTTTATACAATCAAAAGGTTTAGAATAGTTTTAATTAAAATAACTTTCTTTTCCTGCTTATGTTTCATCAATTTATATAATAACTAATTAAATTACATATTTATCATAATAAGCACAACCAGCATCAACAGACTTGGGGACAACTCTTAGAAAATATATGGAGAAGTGTGTGGCACACTCAGGAGAACTCTACTAGCTGCCAGGATCTACCAACAAGTGATAAGATTTATAGAGAACAGAGAACATTAGCTCATCCTGCGACCTGCATAAATGGAGGTTAATTAAGGCAGTTTTTGTTGTATCTCAGTATAGTTAAATACATAAATATTAATTTTGGGTCAAATTGTTAAAATTCTAAAAGGGGACGACGATGTAACTCTAACTTTATGTATAGACTTTTCCTCATTCTACTCTATTTTATCCTCCTTGCCAAAGAACTTTCAATGTTCCATGCCACCCTCCATCATCTGGTTCCCACAATTACTTCTGTAAATGACTTCTCACTATTGCATCATATTCTTGCAATCACTCTAAGGACAGCAGAGAGAAATGCAAAGAGGTATCAATTCAGAGAATCAAAAACATTCCAGGTAGTATCCCTGAATCGGGGGGATAGTTATTTCCAAAACCTCAAGTTTTCATTGGGAGAAACCTCTAATGGGTTAACATTTCTCATCTCTCAATGTGCTTTCATTTTCCCTCCCCTCACCCCCAACAAGAGGAAAAGAAGTGAAATGTCTGACTGTTGAGCCTAAAACTGAGTACGCTGGCTCAGTCTTTTCTTCCTTCTTCTTTGGGTTGTGGCTGTTTGCAGAGAGCACACATCATGGGCTTCTTTTGTCACATGGTCAAGAGTTAGCAGGGGAGATTTGCAGCTAAATGGCATTGTCTGTGATTTAGTAGATATTCCTGCCTAATTCTGGGAGGAAGTAATAGCAAGCAGGCCCTTTTGGAAATAGATCTAAATCCATGTTCAACTGGTTTTATCAATAATAGGGATATATTCATATTCTCCATCTGGTTACTGTACCCAACTTCCAGTTAATTCTAAATTTAGAAGGAAAAGAGGGATATTACTGCATGGAAGCAAAGCAGAGTATGCCATGTCCTACACACTGAAAATATGATACCAAAAATGAAAAACTCAACAGTAACTTTAAAAGTGGCCAAGGAAATATCCAAACAAGATGAATTACAAAAAAAAAAAAAAAAAAGATAGGTGGTAAACAGAAGGTAAGAAAAGTAGAGGATTATTCCAAGAGGTCTAGCATCCAAATTAGAAAAAACCTAGAAAGAGGAAATAGAGAAAATGAAAAGGATACAAGTATCACAGAAATAATTTAAGAAGTATTCCCAGAATTAAAAGAATTAAAAGATATGAGTTTCTGGATAAAAGAGGCCTATTGAGTACACAAGGAAGAGGAGAAGAGTCTAAAAATTTCCAGGACAGCAAAGCAACGAACAATAAGTTCAGAATCCAAACTGATTCCAGATTTCTAATAACAATGTTAGAATTTAGAAGATAGTAAAGCAATACTGTCACATTTTGAGGGAAATTATTTCCAACCTAGAATACTATAATTATGTATAAAGGTATGATGAAAATTTTTAGTCACAAAACATCTCAAACTTTCGGCCTTATTCATCCTTTCTCAGAAAGCTCTTGGTAGATGTGCTCCACCAAAACAAAAACATAATCAAAAAAGAGAAACACACAGGGATCTAGCTCAACAGACAGGTGATGGAAGCCCCAGGAGGATGTTGAAGAACCCACAGTGGCCAACTGTGCAAAATATCTACAAAATAACTGGGATGCAAG